ACCTAATAAAAAACACAGTAACATGATTGTGGTGTTTTTTTTTTTTCTTTAAGAAACAGGGTTTTGCTCTGCCTCTCAGGCTGAAGTGCAGTGGCACAATCACAGCTCACTGCAACCTCAAACTCTTGGGCTCAAGCGATCCTCCTGCCTTGGCCTCCTGAGTTACTGGGATCCTAGGCATAAGCCAATGTGCCCAGCATAACATGCATTTAAGAAGAGGCCCGCACGAGTACACACACACACACACACACACACACACACACACACTCTCTCTCTCTCTCTCTCTCTCTCTCTCTCTCTCCTTTCTCTCTCTCTCTCTCTCTCTCTCCGAGACTGGGTTTCGCTCTTGTTGCCTAGGCTGGAGTACAATGGCGTGATCTTGGCTCACTGCAAACTCTGCCTCCTGGGTTCAAGTGATTCTCTAGCCTTGGCCTCCCAAGCAGCTGGGATTACAGGCATGCGCCACCACACCTGGCTAATATTGTATTTTTAGTAGAGATGGGGTTTCTCCATGTTCGTCAGGCTGGTCTTCAACTCCCGACCTCAGATGATCCACCCACCTTGGCTGGTCTTCAACTCCCGACCTCAGATGATCCACCCACCTTGGCTTCCCAAAGCGCTAGGAATAGGCATGAGCCACCGCACATGGCCGAAGAGATCATTTTTAACCTCTCAGTGGAAGTTCAAAATGCCCAGTACTAGACCAGCTGCCCTGCTCATGACCCCTTCTTGTGAACAGCATAGACCCTGTGGTAAAGGCACTGTGAAGTGCTGTAACAAAGCAATCTATTTTAACTCTCTAGAAACCACCTTCTCTGCACCTGTTTTCTCTCATGCAAAGCAAGGGTAGTAATAGTACCTTCATGCCAGGTTATGGTGGGGCAGGAGTGGCAAAAAGAAGTCACAGAGGCCGGGCACAGGGGCTCACACCTATAATTCCAGCAATATGGGACGCCGAGGCTCACACCTATAATTCCAGATCACTTGTGGTCAGGAGTTCAAGATCAGCCTGGCCAACATACTAAAATCTCATCTCTACTAAAAATACAAAAATGAGCCAGGCGTGATGATGCATGCATATAGTCCCATCTAGTTGGGAGAGTGAGGTAGGAGAATCACTTGAACCTGGAAGCAGATGTTGCAGTGAGCTGAGATCACGCCTATACTCCAGCTTGGGCAACAGAGGGAGACTGTCTCAAAAAAACAAAAGGAACTCATACAGAAGGCACACAACAGATGTTTTTACACATATGCACACATCTCTAAGTGCCAGCATTTTTATTACTGACCCTGTGCCTGTACCCAGACCTTTCACATCCTGCTAACTATAGCCCATAGTGGTCAGAAGCACATGTTTGGAGAGGAACCCAGGAGTTCACATCCAGCTCCTCCTCCACCTAGAATTCACTGGGTGTCTCTAGGCAACTTGACCTCCTTCATCCTCAGTTCTTTCAATGGCAAAATTAATAACTGCACTAATTAATTAGTGGATGCATCAATTCACTTTTCAATATATCGATGTTTAGATGAAGTTATATTACTACCCATCCTCATACGGTCTTTAGAAGTAGTGGGCAGGATAAAGTCACCACAGTACTTGATTAAAAACAAAGGGGCCAGGCACAGAGGTTCATGCCTATAATCCCAGCACTTTGGGAGGCTAAGGTAGGAGGACCATTTGAGGCTGGGGGTTGAAGACCAGTCTGGGTAATATAGTTTAGACCCGTCTCTACAAAAAGTAAAAAAACTAGCTGGGCATGATGACTTGTGCTTATAGTTCCGGTTACTCAGAGGCTGAGGTAGGAGGATTGCTTGAGCCCAGGAATTCAAGGTAAGCTGTGCTTATGCCACTGCACTCCCCACCTGGCCTGAATATTTATTTTCAAATAAAGGTCAGCATTCTACTTGTAATTGGAGCAAAAATTGCTTTGTGTACTTTACATGTTGATAGTAGTGCCAGACCCTGTCTCGAAAAACAAATGAAAACAAACAAACAAAAAAACCCCACACTACCACCAACAACAAAGGGATAATACTTTGGAGTACAATACCGGAAACAATTAAAGTGACCCTAAGGTTGACATGTCAAACAACAAAAAAGATAAAATATTCAGGAATTCACATAATAACAAATATGTAGGGTACAGAATACTTGCAGAAATGCAGACATCCTGTGTATATAAAGAGGAAGACCCAAAATCACGTAGAAATTAATTCTCCATAAGTTGAACTGATAAATTTCATACCATCTTAATCGGTTTTTATTGGGGGAATAAACTGGAGTGATTTGAGAGATCCTGTGACAAGGAAACAAGCATGACCAGGAGAACTCTCAAAAAGAAGAGATCACAGAACTAGCTCTACCAGACTCAGCACATACTACTATAAAGCCTCAACAATGAGCAAGTGTATGCTACTGGTTATAAACAGACAGAGGAACCAAAGGTCCAGAAATAGACAAAAATTTAATTCACAATAAAGGTGGCATCACAGATCATTGTTAAAAAGATGGCAGGTGCAGTTCTAGTTTAGGGGCCACTGGGCACCTACCTGGAAAAAATATTAGATTTGTACCTCATACTGTACCCTAATACAAATTCCGACTGAATTAGAAGTTTAAACAAACTCAGTATTTGCTCAAAATCTATTTTGCTTCTGGAATGCTAGGGAATAGAAGACCAACTTCAGTGGTACTTTTTTTTTTTTTTTTTTTTTTTTTTTTTTNTTCACTCTTGTTGCCCAAGCTGGACTGCAATGGTACGATCTTGGCTCACTGCAACCTCTACCTCCAGGATTCAAGCGATTCTTCTGCCTCAGCCTCCCAAGTAGCTGGGATTACAGGCATGCACCATCACACCCAGCTAATATTTTTGGTATTTTTAGTAGAAACAGAATTTACCGTGTGGGCCAGGCTGGTCTCGAACTCCTGACCTCAGGTGATCCACCCACCTCAGCCTACCAAAGTACTGGGATTACAGGCATGAGCCACCACACCCAACCCTTCAGTAGCATTTCTGAATTTCCCTGCAGCCTTGATACCCTGGGCTTAAGCGATCCTTTTACCTTCTTACTTCAGCCTCCAGAGTAGATGGGACCACAGAAACAAGCTACCATACCTGGCTAATTTTCAATTTTCTAGAGATAGAATTCTCACTATGTTGCCCAGGATGGCCTCAAACTCCTGGGTTCAAGAAATCCTCCTGCCTCAGCCTCCCAAAGTACTAAAATGACAGATTACAGGGATGAGCTACCTCACCTGGCCTGAATATTTACTTTCAAATAAAGGTCAGCATGCTAGTCTTAACTGGAGCAAAAACTGCTTTATGTACTTTATATGCTGAAATTCTGTCAACTAATGTATAAAAGCATATTTAATATAACAGTAAAATGTTGCAATAATTTGTGACTATGAAAGCTATTAATTTCATGTAGTTATTGAGAACTTGAAAATACTTAAATAGGGAAACAGATTTTCAGTAAATATAAATATTAAGAGATATACTGGTTAGATAACTAAGAACATATACTTTTTGAGACAAAAAATGCTTTAAAAGTTCATGGAGGCTGGGTGTGGTGGCTCACGCCTGTAATCCCAGCACTTTAGGAGGCCGAGGCAGGTGGATCATCTGAGGTTGGGAGTTCGAGACCAGCCTGACCAACATGAAGAAACCCTGTCTCTATTAAAAAATAAATAAATTTTTAAAATTTTTAAAATTTTAAAAGTCCATGGAATGATGTAATCAGGGCATGGTGGCTCATGCTTGTAATCCCAACACCTTGGCAAGCCGAGATGGGAAGACTGTTTGAGTCCAGGAGTTTAAGACTAGCCTGGGCAACATAATGTGACCCCATCTCTTTAAAAAAATTTAAAAGTTGGGTTGGGAATGGTGGCTCACGGCTGTTATCCCAGCACTTTGAGAGGCCCAGGCAGGTGAATCACTTGAGGTC